GAGGCTGAGGCCGTCGGATCACCTGAGGTTAGTGTTCAAGACCAGCCTGGTCAACAAGATGAAACCCCATCTCTACTAAAAGTACAAAAATTAGCCGGGCATGGTGGAGTGTGCCTGTAATCTCAGCTATTTAGGAGGCTGAGGCAGGATAATTGCTTGAACCCAGGAGGCGGAGGTTGCAGTGAGCCGGTATCATGCCATTGCACTCCAGCCTGGGCAACAAGAGTGAGACTCCGTCTCAAAAAAAAAAAGAGAAAAAGGAAAAAAAAAAGATGGATAATGGAATGTTGTGCTAAAGGCTGTCATAGACAATCTGAGAGGTAAATGCTATGCTATGGACTAACAGTAAGGGGAAAGGAAGATGGCAAATTTGCAGAGAAGATCAAGTTTGATCAGTTTGCTGGCCTGAAGGTAGCACAATGACAAAGGCTCATTTTAGGGGCTTCTGGTGTACAAAGGTGTAGGGGTACTACCAAAAAGTCATTCTGCCACTTGTTGAAATGTTGTAAGGAAGACTTTAAGACTATTGCAATGGGAGAGAAAGATCAGGCTCAACTCCGAACACAGCATGGATAAATGGGTATTTATAGACAAGGAGCAGAGTGAGGGGGTTGGTGGGTGAAAAATTACTAGGAGGAGACATCAAGGGTAGAGAGACTCTTGCTAAACTGAACTAACAGGATTCTCACTGAAGGAAAGCCAAGGACTTAGACATCAAAAGTGGAGGATGAGGAACTTGCTCAGGTATCAGTGGTGATCAGACGACAAAATGGAGGGAATTCTCCCTAAACTGACGTAGCAACATTCTTGTTCACACTGGGCTAGAGAGGCCAAAGACAGGACAGGTGCCAAGGTCTTAGTGGAGTCTTAGTGGAGAAGAGGGCTCAGAGGAGCATGAGTCAGGTTGGGTCAAGGAGAGAGTCTTTGTTGGAGGGGGAAATTAAATGGTATGAAGGGGAATTTTAGGTGGTTCAACAAGGAGGCAATGTAGTGAGTGGCAACATGGGAGAACTGAGGCTGGAGAGCCCATGCTGTTGCCCCTCTTTTGCCCCTTCCCTCTCTCTCTCCCCCAGAAGCAGTTGACTGGCTGCCTCTTGCTGTGGTTCCTGTGAAAGGCGGCTTTGGTTTGGATCTTCAGTGGGATAAGGGGCTCTGTTCAGAAGAGAGGCTTCCAAATATGCATGAAGGGAAGTAACACAAGCAAAATGCAGGTACACAGTAGGTGTGCAATGCCTATGGGTCCTCTTCTCTTTCTCCCAGTGCTCCCTTTTCAGTGATGAGCCCAGAAAAGCTATAGTTCTATACCCTATACACATGTTCATCCCTCACTTTGAGGAAGAACAATTCCCCCAAACATTTTTTAAAAAACAGTAACATCTAGCAATAAATTAACAACTGGCAACGAACTGTTTCCTGCAAGTTAAATTGTTTCTGAATGCGATATTACTAGGTCCTGGCTGCAAGCTCTTAGGGACTGCACACCTGGAAGGCTGCTGGGCAGAAGTGTCATAACACATACCCCCAGCTCTTCCTTCTGTCAAGTGTCTCAGTCGTTTTGAACTATTTGGAATTTCCGCCTATTCCCCCAAATTGGCAGCCTCTCCTGACTTTTATAGCTTTTGAATTTTGTACAAAGTGCATGTATTAACTATTTACATTTTTATATTTTCAAAAAATGATGATCTCTGTTACAGCAGCTAAAGTGGATTTTTCCCACTCCAGTAACTCACCACCATATTTCCCTATTTTATCTTCTTAGCAGTACTAGTCAGCATTTTGTTTTTATGCTGCGCCCAGTCTCCCTCCACTAAACCATAATCTCCTCGAGCCAACACTCTGCCTTGTTCTCTGTGAGATCTCCAATATCTAGAGTATTTATTTTCCTTCCTTTTCTCTTCTTTTCTTTCCTTTTTTTCTGTTAGTATCTTAATTAGATTTTTAGATTGAGATGCCTTCATACAATGCTTTAGGGATTTTTAGTGTTTTTTTCCTATAGCCTGAAAGAGTTTACATAACAGAAATTATCTATTCATAAAGCAATGCTACTCAAAATGTGTTCTGCAGGCACTAAAGTATAAATCAAACATACTGTTTAGTTCAAACGTACTATTTAGCTGAGTTTGTTTGTTTGTTTGTTTTTGTTTTTTTTTAGCAAAGACTTCATTGATGAAGGAAGCAATATACTGATTTCTGTTCCAGTGCAAGCTCCTTAACTTTTTGCAGGCTGGTAGCAAACAGTTCTGTAACTAGCTACCTGAGTAGCACTGCGGTAAAGGGTAACAGAATACAGATTAAAAACCACCAGAGCCTGGTGCTTTTTCAACTGTTAGATTTAAATTGCCTTTCTATTCTCTTCTGTGGGCATTGATCTGTTTAGATTTTCTTCCTTTTCTTGGCTCAGTTTTGCTAAGTTATATTTTACTAGGAAGGTATCAATTTCCTCTATTTTCAGATGCATTTCTAGAGTGTTGCACAGGATAGTTTCTTTTAGTTCTCTTTATCTCTTCCACATCTGTTTTGGATCCTCATGAGTAAATAGAGGAACATGCAGTAAAAAAGATTGAGAAAAGAGTCAAAAAGGTTAGCGTTCAACCAGGAGAGCTCAGTATTATTCTGGTCACTGAATATGCAAAAATACTCAAATTCTCAAGGGGCTTCATATTTTATCTCTTTTAATTATCCTGAAATAGTTTTAGTATTAATTGCTTTTTGAAGAAGTAGATATTGCCTATTAAATTATCTACGTAGAGACTGGTCAAAGAGTTTCATATGTTCTTTTTGTTACTTGTTTTGTTTTCCTATTTTTTTATTTAAATTTTTTTATTTCTTTTTTTTTTTTAGAAAGGGCATGAACAAGTTCCCTTTGTATTCAAAGGCTGGTCTCAAAATTGATGGACTAAAACCAGTACTTACAGATAGCTAACTAGTGTTGGCAGTGTTTAAATTTACTTTTGGACTTACAGAACAATTCATCAGTTAGTTAATCCGGATATGGCAAACACTCGTAAGGTATAGTTGGTGCAATTTTTATTTGTAAACATTTGATCAATCATTAAGAGACATTTCTGACCAGGCGGGGTGGCTCATGCCTGTAATCCCAGCACTCTGGGAGGCCGAGGCGGGTGGATCACGAGGTCAGGAGTTCAAGATCAGTCTGGCCAACATGTTAAAACTGCGTCTCTACTAAAAGTACAAAAATTAGCTGGGCATGGTGGCACGTGCCTGTAGTCCCAGCTACTCAGGAGGCTGAGGCAGAAGAATTGCTTGAACCGGGACCCGGGAGGCGGAGGTACCAGTGAGCCGAGATCGCGCCATTGCACTCCAGCCTGTGCTACAGAGTGAGACTTTTCTTATCCTGCTGTCTTCATAAAGCATTCCTTGGCAACTTTAGCCTGAAGTGATCTCTCTCTCTACTGAACTTTCAGAACAATCATTCTCTCTATAATTAATTTGTCGATTAATTGTATTAGGCACTGGGACATCTCTTCTACTATTGTTTTAAAATTAATTTTGTTTTTCTTATTAAACTTTTAAAAACACAAACTTTATTTTCAAGCCAGTTTTAGATTTACAAAAAAAATACAGATAAAATAGAGTTCCCATATACCCATGTAGTTTGCCCTATGATTAACATCTTATATTAATATGGTACAGTTGTTACATTTAATAAACCAATATTGATACATTAATATTAAAGTTTATGCATTATTCAAATTGTCTTAGTTTTTCTGTTCCAGGGTGCTACGTTGCATTTAGACCTCATGTCTCCTTGGCTCCTCTTGGCTGTGACAGTTTCTCAGACTTTACTTTTTTTTTTTGGATGATCTTGAGAATTTTGAGAGGTATTGGTCAGGTATTTTGTAGAAAGGCCCCCTATTGGGATTTGTTTGATTTTTTTTTTCATAATTAGACTGGGGTTATGGATTTGGGGGAAGAAGATCACAGATGCAAAATGACATTTTCATCACATCACATCAAGTGTACATATTGTTGACATGATTTATGACTTATGATTGATGTCGACCTCGGTCATCTGGCTGAGGTGATGTTTGTCACGTTTCTCTGCGGTAAAGTTATTCTCCTCTCCCCCTTTCTACACTGTACCCTTTGGAAGGAAGTCATTATGATAGTCCACACTAGGAGTGGGAGTCATTTGCACATTCTTACAGGTGACGTGTTTACAGAAATTATTTAGATTTCTGCACGAGAGATGTATCTCTCCTCCCCCATTTATTTACTCAAACATGGGTCCTTTGAATCATTATCAAATAACATGAAAACAATATCCAAGTGTTAGCCCTCTGTTTGAAGGTGGGCATCTTTAGTGCTCTGCCTGGTCCTGATCCCCAGATCCAGCCTGCTGGCTGTCCTCTCGAGGACTGAGGATGGAGAGGTTTTGCCTGCAGTAAATTGACTCTAAGACAAATTTCAGCAAAAGGAGTTCCTGCGAAAAGGACACTTTTCGAAGTAAAGTGACTTTCCAGTATCTAAACTGGAAACCAATGATGATAGAAATTAGGATGGATATTTGAATCCACACAACCCAATAAATTAAGTATTACTATTATTATTATCATTATCCTCATCCTTATTTTAAGTTGATAATCAGGAGAACATGTCATTTAACCCGCGAAAGCCCCTGACATCGTCTTTGCGATCTGTCCCAGATTATATCCACTAGTCCTGAGGACTTTTCTCCTTGGCAGCAGTTAGCAGAACTGACACCCCCGTTGCTTCTGCTTTTGGTTTGTCACTGCCTCTTCATGCCACTTCCTGCTCCCTCTGTGCTAGGGGGGGTTCCCTCATGCTTGGCAATTCTACATTTGAAACTCCTTCAGTTCCCTAGGTATCAGCAATATCTGCAAGAGTTTTATTGCAATAGAGAATTTTGCTATCATTATTAGGAAAAATTTTTGAAGAGTAAGATAAAATTCCAGACCCTTGGCTTGCTCCATCTTCACCTTTTTTCTAATTGCTGGACCTTCCTACTTCTTCCTCAGACCCTGTCTCTCAGGACTCTGAAGCATCTTCGTCTCACCTAAGCCATCCCCACGGGATCATTATTATATGACATAGCCACCAAAGTGCAGGTAGGCACTTTTACGAATTTGTTTACTCAGTAGTATTTATTCCGTAGGGCTTTCTGTGTACAAACAGTTGTGTTAGGTTAACCATTAGAAGGCCGGGCGCGGTGGCTCACACCTGTAATTCCAGTTCATTGGGAGGCTGAAGTGAGAAGATTGCTTGAGCCCAGGAGTTGGAGACCAGCCTGGGCAGCATAGAGAGAGACCCTCCCATCTCTGCCAAAAATGAAAAAAGTTAACCAGGCATGGCAGCGTGTGCCTGTAGTCCCAGGTACTAAGGGAACTGAGGTGGGAGGATCCTTGAGCCTGGGAGGTTGAGAATGCAGTGAACTCTGATCATGCCACTGCACTCCAGCCTGGGCAACAGAGCAAGGCCCTGTTTCCCCCACCCCCCTCAAAAAAGATTAACCATTAGGTAAAAACCTCAAAGTATTATCTGTCCCTGGAGTATTTGCATAAACAAGAGTTAAATCCTTTTGAAAAACAAATACTGAAGGTCAAATTTTAGGCAACAAATTATGGATGAGAAAAGACTCTAGAGAGTATTAACAACCTTCCCAGTATCCCTGAAATGGTACTGATCTCCTCCTGAGCATGCCTGCAAGGAGGGCTCTGGGTACCACAGTTTGATGTCTACACTGTGTGCCCCACCAGAACAGCTGCAAAATCAAGACCTCCTCGTTAATATAAAATCAATAGTTTATGAACATTAATATTCATTATTTTGTTCATTGTCATAGATGTTCATTAGGTTATTCATAATGTATTAATATTACGTTCATTGTTATACATTCATTGTTATTCATGATGTATTATGTTCATGGTTATGTGTTCTGTATTCATTATGTTACTCATAACGTATTATGTTCATCATTATATGTTTTTATTTTATTTTATTTATTTTATTTTTTTAGACAAAGCCTTGTTCTGTTGCCCAGGCTGGAGTGCAGTGGTGTGATCTCAGCTCACTGCAACCTCCGCCTCCTGGGTTCAAGCAATTCTCCTGCCTCTGCCTCCTGAGTAGCTGGGATTATAGCGCCCACCACCATGTCCAGCTAATTTTTGTATTTTTAGTAGAGATGGGGTTTCACCATATTGGTCAGACTGGTCTCGAACTCCTGACCACCAGGTGATCCACCCGCTTCAGCCTCCCAAAGTGCTGGGATTACAGGCGTGAGCCACCACGCCCAGCCTTCACTGTTATATGTTCATTATATCACTTATAATATATTATGTTTATAATGTGTAATGTCTGTAAGTATTATTGATAGGTTTGGCTGTGTCCCCACCTACAGTTCAATTATGGGACCTTGAACTGTAGGTCCCACAATTCCCACGTGTCATGGGAGGGTGGGGGACTCAGTGGGAGGTAATTGAATCATGAGGGCAGGTTTTCTTTCCTATGCTGTTCTAGTGACAGTGAATAAATCTCACAAGATCTGATGGTTTTACAAAGGGCAGTTCTACACATGCTTTCTTGCCTGCCACCATGTAAGACATGACTTTGCTCCTCCTTCACCTTCCACCATGATTGTGAGCACTCCCCAGCCATGTGGAACTGTGAGATTAAACCTCCTTTCCTTTATAAATTACCCAGTCTTGGGTATTTCTTCACAGCAGCGTGAGGGCAGACTAATACAATTGTGTTCTTGAGTTCATTCAAGTATAAAAAGTGCAACCCTTTGGGTTCTCATCCTATTTCTGCCACTGACTGCTAAGTGATTCTGGGCAATTCCCTCAGGCTCTCTGAACCTCATAAGCTGCAGTTGTAAGATTGAGAGGTTGCTCTAGATAACAATAGCTAATATTTATCAACCTCTTACTATATACTAAATACTGATCTAAGTGTTTTACATGAATCATTTCATTTAATCTCTATGAGTTAGGTATTATTATTTCTTTCATTTTACAGATGAGGAAACTGAGGGCCAGACAACTTGCTGATGTTACACTGGCTACCACTTTACTGTGAGCCACGAAGCACCACACCTGGTCTCATGGCAGGAATGGCTTCTTGGCCTTAGGGAACACTGGCTGTGTGGAAAAATCACACCTCAGAATGATCCATGGGAGAGAAAAGGGGAGAGGGAGTTTGCTGCCCTCTCTGCCCTGTCTCTTGTCTCTACTGGCCCAAGTTTGTCCCATGGGGAGTCGAGAACCCCTTCCTCCTGGGTGGTGTCATGCAGCCTCTTTAGCAGGCGCTAGGGAGGTTAGCTCCCAGGCCTTGTGGGTTGGCTGTTTATCTGAGTCTGGAGGTGGTTGGAGGAGCCATAACCCCAGATAGGGAGCAGGTGTGTGGGCCACACACAGTAGCTGAGGCAAAGCAGGCACCTGAGGAAGCAGATGAGGCTGAGAGAAGTCTGATACTCATGGATGGGTGTGGTGAGTGGTCATTGAAATGCAGACAACTGGGCTGGGCGTGGTGGCTCACGCCTGTAATCCCAGCACTTTGGGAGGCTGAGGTGGGCAGATCTCCTGAGGTCAGGAGTTTGAGACCAACCTGGCCAACATGGCAAAACCCCATCTCTACTAAAAATACAAAGATTAGCCGGGTGTTGTTGTGGGAGCCTATAATCCCAGCTACTGGGGAGGCTGAGATGGGGAGAATCACTTGAACCCAGGAGGTGGAGGTTGTGGTGAGCTGAAATCACATCACTGCACTCCAGCCTGAGTGACAGAGCGAGACTGTCTCAAAAAAAAAAAAATTACATTTGTGTCGGTTTTTTTAAAAAAAAAAAAAAAAGTTTAAATTTTAGAACAGTTTTAGATTTATAGAAAAATGGCACAGATAGCACAAAGAGTTCCTAGAGTTCCTATGTGCTCTGCACCCAGTGCCCGTATGATTCATATCTAACATTAGTATGGTACATTTGGCATAATTCATGAGCTAATATTTATACATTATAATTAATTAAAGTCCACACTATGTCAGATTTTCATCGTTTTTACCTAATGTCCTTTTTTCTGTTTCAGGATCCCACATTACATTTACTTGTCATGTCTCCTTAGGCCCCTCTTGGCTGTGACGGTTTCTCAGACTTTCCTTCTGTTTAATGACCTTGACAGTTTTGAGTAATGCTGGTTAGGCATTTTGTAGGGTGTTCTTCAATTGTAATTTTTTTGATGTTCTTGTTCTGATTTGACTGGGGTTGATTTGGGGAGGAAGACCAGATTGTTAAAGTGCCACTGGGATCACATCATATCAAGGGCACGTACTATCAATATCACTTACCATGATGATGTTGACCTTGATCACCTGGCTGAGGTACTGTCTGCCAGGTTTCTCCACTGTAAAGTTGCTCGTTTCCCCCCTTTCCATATTGTAGGCTTTGGAAGAAAGTCACTGTGTGCAGCCCACATTTTAGGAATGGCGGTTTATACCCTATTTCCTTGAGGGTGGAGTACCAACATAAATTATTTGGAATTCTTCTGCCCTGGGGATTCGTCTATCCTTTCTCATTTATTCAATCATTTATTTATATCAGTATAGACTCATGGATATTTGCTTTATACTTTGGGTCATCATCTAGTACTGCTTTATTTTATTTTGTTTTATTTTTTGAGATGAAGTCTCACTCTGTCACCCAGGCTGGAGTGCAGTGGCGGGATCTCGGCTCACTGCAACCTCTGCCTCCCAGGTTCAAGCGATTCTCCTCCCTAAACCTCCTGAGTAGCTGGGATTACAGGCGTGTGCCACCACGCCCAGCTAATTTTTGTAGTTTTAGTAGAGACAGGGTTTCGCCATGCTGGCCAGGCTGGTCTTGAACTCCTGACCTCAGGTAATCCACCCGTCTTGGCCTCCGAAAGTGCTGGGATTATAGGCGTGAGCCACTGCGCCCAGCCTAGTACTGCTTTATTTTGTTGTTCAAATTTTCCCAGCTCCGGCCACTGGGAGCTCTGTCAGTTGGTTTCTGTGTCCCTTTGGCATACCCCAATCATTGTTGGGGGTGGGGTTCGGTTTGTTTGTTTGTTTGTTTTTAACAGTTTATTACTTTCTGGCACTAAAGATGCTCCAGGCTCACCTTGTGTATTTCCTCACCCAGTCCTAGAGTCAGCCATTTCTTCAATAAGCCCTAGTTCCTTTTCGTGAAGAATGGTATTACAAACCAAGAGCTGGGCTCTAGCTGTGTCATTACCACTGGGGTGTCATTAATTCCAGGCCCTCAGCTGACAGAGCAGGAAAATATATGTGTGTGTAATAGTCAGGAAGGTTCCTTTAATCTTACAAAGCACACTTTGAAAAACTGGACCAATTTAGAGTTCTCCGGCTGCTCAGTCTCAGTTTCTTTTGTTTTCCTTTTCCCAGTGCCTGTTTCTTTGTGCGAGTCCAGACCAGTTTGTCCTTGAATCCCTTCCTTGCCCTCCCTCTGCTCCACGGCCTCCTGCAGGGAGCTGATCCCTGACGTCTCCTAGGTTTCCAGGTCAGCCGGCTGCTGGCTGGACTCTGGCCAGGCCAGTGTGGCACCAGCTGGAGGTGGGGGTAGCACTTCCAGACGCAGCTCCAGGGCCTGCTGGACAGGCCCCCCCCCACCACTGTGATTCTGCCTTCTTCTAGGCTCTAGTGACATCACCCCTGTCCTTTGTCTCTCCTGCCTGGAGGTGTCAATGACTTCTGACTGGGATCTCCCTGCCCCTGGTGGGCTTCTCAACTTCTTCTGTCACATATGTAACCATTTCTCTGAATAAATTCTCTTTGTTTAAAACACTCAGTGCTGTCTAATTCACTGGTGGGGCCCTGGACAGAACTGTTTCATTAGAAAGGGACCCCAGGAATGGCAGTGGTGTCTGAGTAAAAGCAGGATGGAGGGAGAGTGAGTTCAAGGCAGTATTCTCAAGCCAGTACTGCTGTGGGCCCTAGGACGCCATCCCACTGGGGACACTGAGTCGCTGGGGAGAACAGCCCTCAGCATTGTCTGACAGCCCCAACTGCTCGAGGTGTGCCCAAAGGTGAAGAACTCTCTAGCATTTCCAGGTTTTCACACAAATCTGAATGGCTCAGTGGGTCCCCACAAGGATCTCCAGCCCCCGATAGATGCTAGAGATTCGACAGGAGGCTGAGGGGAGGGATGGCCGGGGTATCAGCTGAACCCATTGCCACAGCAATAACTGAAGTTTAAACAAAATTAAAAAGGATGGGCCGGGGGCGGGAGACAGGCCCAGAGGTGTCTGGGATGCTGAGCTCCCCTCCGCTGGGGCCCTTCTCACAGCTCTCTTTTCCTCTCAGTCTTCACTCTTTCTGAGCAATCTCTTAGACACCCCGCGGTTTCAACAACTATCTACATGACATGGGAGGATCGGAGTTTGCTTTGTGCTTTAAAAAGAAATCTGTTGAAGCCCCTGACTGACTTTACTTGCAGAAATTCCCTTTGCAGAGAAAAGAGGCTTCCACACACTTTGCCTAATTAAATAAGAAAATGGACAGTTTATATAATAATTGAATTATATTAATGAGGTCATTCTCAGCAGGTATTTATGACAAGGCTGGGGAGCAAATGCAACCTTCTAGAAAAACCACAGTGGTGGTCATTTTAAGTGAAGAAACACATTCTTTTTTTGTTGTTTTGTTTTTGAGACAGGGGTGGGTCTCACTATGTTGCCCAAGCTGGTCTCGAGATCCTGAGCTCAAGCGATCCGCCCGCCTCAGCCTGCCAAAATTCTGGGATTACGGGTGTGAGCCACCATGCCTGGCTTAAGAAATACATTTTTTCTGAGTTGGAGTCTCGCTCTGTCACCCAGGCTGGAGTGCAGTGGCGGGATCTCAGCTCACTGCAACCTCCGACTCCTGGGTTAAAGCGATTCTCCTGCCTCAGCCTCCCAAGAAGCTGGGACTACAGGTGCCCACCACCACGCCCAGCTAATTTTTTGTATTTTTAGTAGAGACAGGGTTTCACTGTGTTAGCCAGGATGGTCTCAATCTCCTGACCTCATGATCCGCCTGCCTCGGCCTCCCAAAGTGCTGGGATTACAGGCGTGAGCCACCGTGCCCGGTCAAGAAATACATTTTTTACCACAAACCTTTCAACAAACGCAATTTTCTCTAACAAATATGCATAGTGTCAAGGTTACAAGTCAACTGTCCTTGGAAGAGAACTATTGAAATTAAACTCTATGACAAGAAGGCTTTTTGCCCTTCTAAGTACCAGAAACCCAACTACATGATGTCCGGCTACAGAAAGAAGACAGACTTAACTTAAATATTATGGTGAGCAATACATAAATCTTCGCTGACCTTCCCCCTTCATCTCCATGTGCACAGTCATCGCTTTGGATCCTCAAAGCGATTGTGTTTTGGTTTTCTTTTTTCACTCAGAGTTTCCATTAAGTGTCACTGAAACTTGTGGCATAAGATTGAACAATGGTATTAATCCAGATTGAATCAAAGCAGATAAAACAGCTCGGGCATCTGCTGTTTTAGCTCTTTAAAGATTCCAAATCTGGCCTTGTTCCCCATCCCAAACCAAAGCTGCTGACGCTGGAGACTGTGGAGAGAAAAGGGTGGCACCCAGCACAGGGGCCCAAGGGGTTCAACAAGCCACAGTGCCAGGTGGTGGCTCAGGGACTCACAGGGCAGACAGTGTCTGTTATTTATTTTAATTAATGGCCTACACTTAAAAGGAGTTTCACAGGTAAACTTCTGGCTTCTCTAGAAAAAATGGGTAACTCTTTCTTTCACCCCTGAACTGGCAATCTCACATGCCAAAGGCAGCAGCCGGGCAGTGGTGGCCCCTTCGACCTCATACACGCTCACTCTCCTTTTGGAGAGGAGAGTCACTGTCACTGTCTTGTGGCCATTTCACTTATTCATGCCTGGGCTGGCTCCTGCAGACATTGGTGGTAAAGAGATTAGAGGGTGTGGCCAAATTCCAGAGTGGCTCCAAGAAGAGATCAAAGGACACACACAGACATACACACACACACACACACACACACAGCTTTGCATTCTAAGCTCCATCCACAATGAAATTCCTCCAGTTCCTCTCACCTTGTCTCCTCTCAGCCTTTGCTCAAGCTGTTTTATCTGCCAGCAACATGCTCCTCTACTGTCCCCCGCCCACTTGGTCACATTCTATTCAACCTTCATGATGTCACCTCTACAGGAAGCCTCCTGGCCCCCAGTGAAGGTTCAGATGGATGTCAGAGAGACCCAAAGTAACAGCAACTTAGAAAAAAGGCAGACCTTTAATTCTCTTCCAAGGGAGAGTCCTGCCCAGTGAAGGCCCTCCCAGTGCCTGGACTCTTCTACATGCCGACCTATCCGTGAGGCACAGCAGACACAGTGCCTAGCGCCCATGAAAATGTGTTAATTTCATTTAGAATCAGAAGGAAGAAATGAATATAATGATAAATCCAGGCTGAATTGTTTTTGCCATTTTACTAATACAGTAGTAAAAACAAATTTTTAATATATATTTTTTTTAACAGAAGAAGGGGCCCACAAAGGCAAAGGTGCTTAGGG